GCGTTTCATGGCTGGCAAAGACAGGCCGCCTCTGCTGGATTCTGTACACTTTGTCCCTGTCGCTCCTCCATGAGCACTGCTCATGAAATCTGCCCTGGGATGCCACTTGCATCACAGCAGCAAGCTTCCAGCACTTGTTCTTTATCTGCCCTTGCCGTTCTGTGCCAGGGATGGGCACCAAGGTCCTTTGCATTTTCTTCCCTTCCTTCTCCACTTAACAACCCTGATGTCCCCCGCACACCAGGAAGGCCTGGGCTTCCATGTCCACAGGGTGAGCTGTTTGTTCACTACTTCTCCCCCTGAGAGATGACGTCTTCCTCCTCCACTCAACACTTCCAAGCCCCAGCCCCAACCCAGGCCACATGTTCTGAACATTCCGTTTTTGAAAGAGAGGCCGTTGAAGGACAGGAGGCTTTAGCTACCCAAAATGTAAGGAATCCAGAAGTCAGGCTCAGGGTCTATGGGTTTCCCTGGCAACCTGGGAAGAGTGTGGCCTCTCCTGAGCATTAAGCCAGGTAAAACAGTAACGATGCCGCCATGTACTCCCTTCCTATTGCTGCCGGACTGAATGCTCTGCCTATTTTGTCTTCCTTTAGTCTCACAACCCTGGGAGGTTGATACTATCAATATCTCACTTTGGCAGATAAGGAAGCAGAGGCTTAGAGAAATTCATTGACACGAGCAGAGGTTCCAGCCTTCGTCTTGGTCAGCGGAACGCTGTAGCCCCTGTGCTTTCTGCTGTTCCATGAGAGCGAAGTGAGAAAAGAAGCAAATCAAGTAGGCCACCCACCGTGTCGGCTCCCTACGCTGGGCTGTTGGCTTACTCCCGCATTTATCTTGGAGTTTTATATTTTAAATCACCTCACAGTCTTTATTTCACAACTGTACTTCGAAGTCTTTGAAAGCAGGGCTTTTATCTTGTACACAAAAAAGCATATTTGTTCTTATTTCACAAATTGACACGGTCATCATATCGGAAGAAAGTCAACATTTACTGAAGCTATCATAATAAAAGCATGATGTGCTAATTAACTGGACGTCCTTCTGGATGAAACTGCGAGGGCTGAGCCCCTTGCACAAATTTCATGCACCGGGCCTCTAGTAAGGGAATAAATGAGCACTTTTAGCTCCTTACACATCAAATCTAAATTCCCTGGTGTGATATTCAATAATAATAAAAATACTGGCCAACAATAGCTGAAGAGGGACAGTGCAGCCAACCTCTATGCCATGCTCTTTATAAGCACCAGCCCACTTAATCCCAGTGGCAACTGACAGATAGTAGGGTGCAGACAGGACTCAAACCCATGTAATTTCATGTATAAATCTGAATTCCCAATAGTGAACCTGAATTCCTACTTCTTCCCAGCACATATCCTTCCATTAGACTGGTTTCTTTTCCTTCCTTTCTTCCTTCCTCCCTTCCTTCCTTCCTTCCTTCCTTCCTTCCTTCCTTCCTTCCTTCCTTCCTTCCTTCTTTCCTTCCTTCATTCCTTCCTTCCTTCCTTTTCTATAATCCTTTCATAATTTTGTTCCACCCTCCTTTAGTGTGCTTATCTTTCTTTCCCTTCTGTCACTGCCTAAAGTTAGCATGTACTAATTGGAACATTCCCAGTTACTCTGGCCCCTAACTGACACTTCAGTTAATAAAAGAATGCCTTATAGAACTCCCAGGCAAAAGTGCCAGAAAGATATCAATGGCTCAAAGCATTCATGACACACTGGGTGAGTTGCCTAAATTATCTGCCTGGTTTGCTACACCTTTCATTTCATGTTAGCTCGGATCACTCTGTACTTGGAAGCATATTTGTTCTTATTTCACAAATTGACACGGTCATTTTACAGTGAAGCAACCTGGTGGGCCCTGTTTTAACCAAATTAAGGGATTAAAAGGAAGGAGGTTCAAATTAACCTCACCAAGAACGGGACAAACTAACCTCAGGGATCTTCTAGCGCATTGTACCGAGAGGGTGTCATGCTACTTATGCACCAATTCTGCGTGAGGAAGCCTCAAGACAACCAAGCCTTTCTACAAGATACCTGTGTTTACTCTTCCAAACATGTCGAGGGACGTGAATGAAAAAGAAAGTTGGGAGGAACTATGCTAGAGGTGCACTTCTCAAGAGCTCAGAAATAGGCAGAGTAAAACCGAAGAATCACCCAAGAAATAATCAATATAAGTTGATTGCACACACCTCAAAATGACCGGAAGCACTCACATCCTAACGTGGAATGAGATTCAGGGAAATGTTGTGATAAAGCAGCTTACATAGTGAGGAGACAGTGACTGTTCCTTCTTCACAGTTATACTATTAGAATTTTCTCAAATGATGGGGAACTGGTCAGTGGTTATTTCACATCGACCTTGAGAAGTAGTTCAAGTTTTGCATCTGATTTTCAACTTAGTTCAAATGAAACTTTGTATAACTAACCTGGTTTTGTCTTCCCAGGGACTTTTCAAGGTTGGTCTCTGCTTGTGTTTTATTTTAACTGAATTCATTATAACAAAAGGGTATTGTTGCAACATTTGTCGAAATAGGAACATGAACTGTCGATTACTTAAGAATATTATATCAGGGTTAAAGCTCGTGATAACTGTGCTATGGTTATTAGGAGAACTCCTCTGATCCTGGGAATATGCACTAGGGGTGAAGGGGTATGATGAATCTAACTTATTCTCAAATGATACAGAAGAAGAGGAAAAAAAAAAACATACATGTGGCAAATGGGGCAAAATCTTAAAAGACTAGGCCCATGCAAAAGCAGACCTGAGCTGGCCACTGGGACAAGTTCAAGGCCATTGTTGCCCTCAGGGACTATAATGGCCATATAAGTCTAGGTGCTAAGTGCTCCGAAGAGATAGTAACCACCATGTGTGGGGCCTGATACCGCCCCTCCATAGATGCTGGGTGGCAAGGCTACTGGAGATGGAGACTCACACCCCCCATGCCATCTCTGGCAAGATGACAGGCCATTGCTGCTGCACCTCATTCCTCCCCCCACAGGGCCCATTATCTGGGCCCTTTGACCCAATAAGCTGTGGAGGATGCCTGGTGTGAAGGAGGCTGCACTGCCACCTAAGCCAGAGACCACATTGCCACCATAGGCAACTTTGCCAAGGCCACCTTTTCTGCCATCTGCAAGGTCTACATCTCTGTCACTCACATACCTCTACAGAGACCAAGCTTCCATGTCAGGAATTCACCTACCTTTAGTCAAGTTCCACGGGACAGTCTCCACGCAGAGGACTTGGGCTCCAGCTTTGGCCGCCGCATGCTTTCATACAAGAAAAACACACTGGATACATTAGGCCTGCAAAAAAAAAAAAAGAAGAAAATCACCTGTAAGACATGTTTACTATACAGAATCCTGGACTTCATCATTAGATATTCTCATTCAACTAGGGCAGCTGCTGTAGGGATTCTCAGACCACACAGAGGCACACCGAAGTAGTGTTTTATTATCCCCATTGGTTCCAAGAAGCCAGTAAATACCCTGGAGTACATTCCTAATGGTGGAGCTATCGAGAAGGCCAGCCAGCAAGTCCAGAATGCTTGGAAGCCTGCCTTGAGGGGGAGGGGGAGGGAGAGGAGTAGGGGAGGAGAATGAGCAGCCCCTGTCAATGAATAGTCACATGCTACTGTTTGGAATTAATCTTACTATTTTTTCCCACTTGCTTATAACCTGCATTCGGTTAGTTGTTAGTTCTTAATTTCTAACACAAATCCTCTTTTTTACTTCCACCTTTCAGGCCCTTGATAATTGTCCTTAATTATTGAAATGGCCTTCCAGTTCTTAAATCCACCCTGCCAACTTTTTAAGAGTTCAAAACCTTCAGAGATGTGCTAGTATCAAAAAACCAAACCCATCAATGTCAGTAGCTCAAACTCCATTCAATTTAAATGTAGACTATCAAACAGTATTGGATAACTTGAGGAAAGAGAAAATAGCAAGACATGAATGCGAATTAAATATTGTTGGAGAACTGAGCTAAAGAGTTTTATTTGCATACTGAGTATATCTTCATTTTTTTTTTCCCCCAAGGAAGTGGTTACTAGTTTTTGCCAGAAAAAAAAATTTGTCCACCATCCAGACCTGAAATATCATGACTATCATATACACATAAGCAACTGTTTGACAGTGAAATTGGGACTCAAAAGAACTGCTGGCCCAGAAAGAAACTCACTATAGACTGATTCATATGCCTCTCAGCACAACCATTATTGCTTGTCTCCTTTTCTGTTCTTATAAGTGTATTTCTAGTATCACATGAGCTCACTCATCTAGGGAAAATAATGAACAACATAAACCGATGAACAAGAACAGACCCGGAGACAGGGAAGTATTGATCAGACTGTGGGACCTCAGAGGGAAGGTAGGGGAGGGTGGGGATCAGGGAGAGATCAACCAAAGGACTTGTGTGCAGGCCTATGGGCCTGGCCAGTGGCCATGGACAACAGGGGGGTGGAGAGGGGTTGGGGATGGGAATGGGAGGATGAGGACAATTATGTGATACCTTCACCCATAAAGAAATTAAAAAAAAAAAAAAGATAACAGCACAATTCTTTTAAACTAGTCGTGCACAGTTGTCTGGGTGAGCAAACCCATCTTCAGTGCCGACAAAACCAAAACAAAACTTGTGTGGGTTTGCGTGTGGGCCCATCTCGAAGCTCCCTGGCTGCACGCGTGTCTCCGGGGGCTCGGAGCTCCGCAGAGCCGCGGCCGGGCCGGGAGCGCGCAGAGCGGGGCGGGGGGGGGGCCGCCACCGCCGGCTCCGCCCGAGGCCGCTCCTGGGCCGGGCCAGCCCTCCCTCCCGCCCTCCGGGCCCTCCCCGCCCCTCCGGGCCCTCCCCGCCCCTCCGGGCCCTCCCCGCCTCTCCGGGCCCTCCCCGCCTCTCCCGGGCCCTCCCCGCCCTTCCGCCTCCCCCCTCCCGCCGCCCGCCCCTCCGGGCCCTCCCGCCCGCCGCCCGGCCTGGGCGTCACTGCGCCGCCGCCACGGCCATGGCCTCCCGCCTGCTCCTGGGCTCCCTGCGCCGCTGGGGCCGCCCGTGCCCGCCGCGCGCCGCCAGGTGAGTGCCCTGCAGCCCGGGCAGCACCCACCCACCCCCGAGCAGCACCCACCCACCCCCGGGCAGCACCCACCCCCGGACAGCACCCACCCCCGGGCAGCACCCACCCACCCCCGGGAAGCACCCTCCTCCGGGCAGCACCCACCCCCGGGCAGCACCCACCCACCCCCGGGCAGCACCCACCCCCGGGCAGCACCCACCCCCGGGCAGCACCCACCCATCCCCGGGCAGCACCCTCCTCCGGGCAGCACCCACCCCTCCCTCCGGGCAGCACCCACCCACCTCCGGGCAGCACCCACCTCCGGGCAGCACCCACCCACCTCCGGGCAGCACCCACCTCCGGGCAGCACCCACCCTCGGGGCGCCGGAGGGGCGCTCACTGGCGGGGAGAAGCCCAAAGGGGGCCCCGCCCCGCTCCCCGCGCTCCCGCGGCTCCGGCTGCGGGGGCCGCCGCGATCGGGGTCCGGCCCCGCCCCGCACTCCCTGGCGCGCTTCGGACCCGGACCTCCGGCTTCGGACCCGGGCCTCTGGCTTCGGACCCGGACCTCCGGCTTCGGACCCGGACCTCCGGCTTCGGACCCGGACCTCTGGCCTCGGACCCGCGACCTCTGGCTTCGGAGCCGGGCCTCTGGCTTCGGACCCGGACCTCCGGCTTCGGACCCGGGCCTCCGGCTTCGGACCGGGACCTCCGGCTTCGGACCCGGGCCTCCGGCTTCGGACCCGCGCCGGGGCGGCCCGCGGAGGCTGAGCCGAGCGGGACCCCTCGCAGCCCGGGCGCTGCTGGGCCCGGGGCTCCCAGAGCGCTGGCCGCCGGCCCAGCAGACAAGGCAGCGGCCTGCGGCGGCTAACCACTGCCCTCTCCACCCCTAAACCAGTTCAGAGGCTTCCGTGGGCTGAGTGGGCATTAGGGGAGAGTTTACAGGATCAGAAGCTGCAGACGCCGCCAGACGCCTAAAACCCATTCATTGATCCGCCGGGATCAGTGAGGAGGCGCTGCTGAGGAGGGTGCGAGGACAGATAACGGGGGAACCGTGGTCGGTGTATTCCCGACAGGTTCCTGGGTCTTTAAAGGAAGGAATGGACGTGCCAGCTAACTTTCCCTTCGCATATTCCCCCTGCAACCCTTCTGACTGAACTGAAAAGTTTTTATTCTCTCTGGCTCTTCTCTCTCTTTCCTGTGGGGGGCGGGAGAGGTGGCACTCACTTGACTGTGAGAAAGCCCCACTCTCCTGCTCCACTCCTGGTGTATTTTACTCAGAAATTACACCCCCTGACAGAGAGAGAGAGAGAGAGAGAGAGAGAGAGAGAGAGAGAGAGAGAGAGAGAGAGAGAGAGAGAGAGAGAAATATTCCAAAGGTTTCCTTAACATAGCACGGAAACTAAAAATGTTAAGATCCAGGCAGACTTGACTGTAAATTCTGCTCCTTTACTTACTAATTATTTTAACAAATGATGTAAAGCAAAGGTTCCCTCATCTCAGCACATCCCCCGCCCCTAAGGAAGAATCCCAAATAAGGAAATTAGTCCATGTGATGCAATGTGACAGTGGCCTGCAGGGATCCTGGCGTTACCTCTGACGTCCTCTACTGCTCTTGGCACTCTGCTCACTCCGTCCACACTTAGCCTCCTTGCTCTGTCAAGAACCCATCAGATAGCGTCTTTAGATTTGAGCAAATGCTTAAAGATGCTAGATTTAGCCAAGCAGATTGCGGACATAAAACAATGTTCGACCAAGAATAAAATTAAAGCAAAGGCTGTGTTTTGCTTTAATTTTATTCTTGGTCGAACATTGTTTTATGTCCGCAATCTGCTTGGCTAAATCTAGCATCTTTAAGCATTTGCTCAAATCTATTTTTCTAACTTAATTTGTCCTCGCTGCACTTTCACACGGCAACCTTTGTTTTGCCTTGTTCCAGACACACACAGCCTGACCCCTGCTCTACTTTTCTTTCTCCAGTACATACTACCTTCTAGTATCTGTGATAATAAAAGCATAATATGCTAAGTAGACGGGACAGCCGAACAACCTTCCGGATGTCATGCTGGACATACTTCCAGATGAAGCCACTGTAGCAGGGCCAAGGCAGAGTGGTCAGGGGCGATTAAGCAGGCAGGCAGTTAGGGGTGATGAGACAGGAAGGCAGGCAGGCATGCAGAGTGGTTAGGGGCAATCAGGCAGGCAAGCAGACAGGTAAGTGGTTAGGAGTGATCAGGCAGGCAGACAGAGTGGTTAGAGACAATCAGGCAGGCAGGCAGGCAGGCAGGCGAGCGAGCATTTAGGAGCCAGCGGTCCTGGATTGCAAGAGGGATGTCTGACTGCCCGTTTAGACCTGATCCTGCAGGGACATCAACCGGCAGTCGGCCATCACCCAAGGGGTCCCAGATTGCAAGAGGGTGCAGGCTGGGCTGGGCAAATTGCCTGCATAGGGCTTCTAGTATTATATACTGATAATTTGCTTCTTTCGTTTATTGATAATTTACTATTGTTCAGTCTCCCTTTCTAGAAAGTAAGCCTGAAGACAGGGATTTTTGTTTTACTCACTGTTGTATCCCATACATTTTTATTTTTTTAAATATATTTTATTGATTTTTTTTACAGAAAGGAAGAGAGAGGGATAGAGAGTTAGAAACATTGCTGAGAGAGAAACATGGATCAGCTGCTTCCTGCACATCCCCCACTAGGGATGTGCCTGCAACCAAGGTACATGCCCTTGACTGGAATCGAACCCAGGACCCTTCAGTCTGCAGGCTGACGCTCTACCCACTGAGCCAAACCAGTTTCGGTGGTACCCCGCACATTTTAAAAATTTATCTTTATTGTTGAAAGCATTACAAATGTCCCCTCCCCCCCCCTTTTTTTTCCTGTTGACCCGCTCCTTCGAGGCTTTCACCACACTATTGTCTGTGTCCATGGGCCATGCGTAGATGCATATAAGTTCCCCAGTCAGAACCTTTTATATAAGACAAAAAACCAAGTATAGAAATTATAGTATTAAATTTTCAACACTAAAGGTTACCACTTAAAAGTCCTCTCAGATTGTATTAACAAACTAAAGCACATAAAAGACAAACGTAAAACAAAATGGCACAAAATGTATGTGAAGTGTATTAGTCAGCTGAGGCTGCTATAACAAAACACCATAGACTGGGTGGCTTAAACAACAACAGTGTAGTTCTCCTTATTCTAGATGCTAAAGAGTCCAAGACCAACATGCTGGCCAAGTCAAATATTAGAAAGGACTTTCCAGTTTGTAGATGGCTGCCTTCTCCCTACGTCCTCATACGGCCTTCCCTTGGGGCTTTTGTACAGAGAGAGAGATCTTGCTCTTCCTCTTACAAGGCCATCAATCCTCTTGACATCTTTAAACTAGAATTACCTCCTCAAAGCTTATCACCAAATACAATCATGTTGGGAATTAGAGTTCCAAGATATGAATTTGGGTGGGGACACAATTCAGTCTATAGCATTAAGCAAAGATACATAAAGTGGAACAAAATAATCCACTTCAGGAAGAAGAAAAAAAAAAGATTGAAACAAGTGCATTGCCAATAAACAAGACTGGGTCTTTTGTGGACAGAGACTTAAGGAAGAGAGAAACCCAAAACAGAAATGTGTGCAAAATAGGGAAACATCCTTTGGCAACATTTGAATATATGATAAAATGGCCTTTAGATGGGAGCTTGAACATGTACAAAGTGATACGTATATTTTGAAAATCTTTTTAAGTGTACTTTGCATGGGGAGGGGGAAGTCTGAAGACCACTGAACTTAAGGAACCACATAGCATCTGATTTTAAGCTTAGTATACGGGGGGAGGGAAGGATCTGTTTCTGAAGATCCTGAGTAATTCCACAGTAATCCTTATAAAGGTTGGTGGGCATTTGATTTAGATTTACACCCACATTGGCTCTATAATGTAGCGGTAGCATCAACATAGTTTATATCTTATATTCCTGCCCTTTGAAATTACAGGATTCTGGAAAAAAAATATTAATTTGGAGAGAGTTGTGTTATTGTAGACATTGTACATGACATGAAGTCTTCATAGTATTATTTTATTGTAATAATTGAATCTTACATAATTTAATCTGCATCATTGACAACACTATTTGGCCTTACCTCACACATGTAGTTAGTTGTAGACATGGTTTCCTCTTTATGAATTGGGAAGTGAAGAGATCATTAGATAAGGGGAAATTACTTCTTAAGCTCATCCAGGCCAGGTAGATCCTCTCAGAAATGGTGATGCTCAAATTTGAACAGGTTTGTCAAATTTCAGACTCTCCCGTCTCTAAAGTGTCTTTGGAGGAAAAAAAGATCAAGATTTTTCATAGTGTTTAGTGACATTCATTCGGGTATGAAAGGTAGCAATTTACTTAATTTTCTTAATGTATATATATTCTCTTCTTTTTTTTTTTAAGATGTTCTCATTCCGGAGGGGAGCATCGTCTAGAAACTTCTTCTGCTAAGAAACTAACAGATATAGGAATTAGAAGAATCTTCTCTTCAGAGCATGACCTTTTCCGGGAAAGTGTAAGGAAGTTTTTTCAGGAAGAAGTGGTTCCTCATCACGCAGAGTAAGTGGCCCATTTTTCTTTAAGCTAATGCGCCCTATGAGTAAAATAAGAACTATTTCATAGAATGCTGTGTGATGTTCTATTAAAAAAATATATATATATTGTGTTTAGGGCTTTAAAAGCCTCTTTAACTGTTTTCAGCAGAGTGCTGTGAGATTACAGGATTTTTAAGCTAGTTCAAAACTTTGTCAATGAAATTTAAAATATACAATCCTATATAATAAAAGGCCAATATGCAAATTGTCCCCTTGGTAGTTCAACCGGGAGATCGGGAATTCGATCACTCGCTATGACCACGGGGGGGAGGGGGGAGAGGTAAGCACAGAACATGGCCGGGCCCTGAGGGAGCAAGGGAAGGAGGATGCAGGGAACTTGACCACCGGCCAGGCCTAGGGGCCTCACCCATGCACAGTTTTTGTGCACCAGGCCTCTAGTTCTAAAATAAGAAAGATTGTTGGTCAAAAGGTATGAATGTCTAGGTATAAAATAAATCATGGGGATGTGATGTACAATGTGGTGACTATAGTTAACACTACTGTAGTGCATATTTGAAAATTTGGCCTTAAAAGTTCCCATCACAAGAAAAAAAAAATTGTTGCTATATGTATGGGGACAAATGTAAACTAAACTAACTGTGGTGATCATTTTGCAATATATACAATGAATTATGGTGTATACCTGAACTAATAAAATGTTACATGTCAATTATATCTCAGTTTTTTAAAATGTAAAAATCTCAAATCAATCTAAGAAAAATATTTTAGAAATCCGGTGAAGTGACAATAAAATATTAGTTTATTCCATAGTCTTTCTTTTTCTGCTTCATGTATGGATTAAAATGCATAAAAGCTCAAAGGCCAGTATAATGTAAATCTTAGTAGCCAACAGGCTACCTCAAAATATTTTTATTACTGAATGAGTAACCTCATTGACTAAAAGCTGTCATTTCTATTAAAATAGGATTTTGCTGTGTTTTCAAAATTTACTCAATGCCAGTACTTTCCTACAATTAGAATGCTTTTTAAAAATTACTTAGAAATAGCCTCTATTACGTTTTTATTAATACTTTCGGTAAGATTGACCAAAACTAACTAAACTCTAGTGCCATACATAACTAGTCTGTGGGCACTATCCCTCCTGGGGGCAGGCCGGGTGCCTTTCCCCTCCCCCACTTTCCCTCTCCCCTCTCCCTCCAGGCACCTTACCATCAGCTTCCTCTCTCCAAGCTCCAAGGCCCTTCCTTTCCCTCCATAACTTGTTTCCTAAGCCTTTTGTCTAGGAATTACTTTTTTTTTTTCTTTTTTTAAAATATATTTTATTGATTTTTACAGAGAGGAAGGGAGAGGAATAGAGAGTTAAAAACATTGATCAGCTGCCTCCTGCATATCCCCCGCTGGGGATGTGCCCGCAACCAAGGTACATGCCCTTGATGGGAATCAAACCTGGGACCCTTCAGTCCACAGACCGACGCTCTATCCACTGAGCCAAACCGATCAGGCTAGTAATTACTTTTTCTATATCAAGTAAATGTTCTCTTAAAACTTTCTAATGCCATTGCTGTCCTAAAGAGCTTAGAAAGTATTGATAGAGGAGGAGTAGGGGGAAGGGGATGGGAAGGGTGAAGCAGTATTTTCGAGATTTGATGGCACAGGCAGTACAGTCAGATACCCAGGAGCCAAAGTCATTTTGTCACAGGGCCCTTTCACCAAGGCCTCTTCCCAAAGAACAAATGTATACCTGCCATGAGGCATTCAATGTGTAAATATTCCGATCTCAGTTATATCTGAAATAGCTAGAGATTTCCCCTTTAAATCATAAAGTATTCTCCAAAGTTTAAATTGTTGCTTCAAAAGTTTGTAAAGGCAAAAATAAGCTAAATGAAATGTTTAAAGACAAAAGAAATGTAGAATACGTCACCCTAAGACAGTTTTTTGTTCCTTTCCTTCCTCTTTTAAATTCCATTCCAGGAAATTGTTGGTGAGAACTTGCAGTAAAAATGATAGAAGTTACAAGTTGGAGTTGATAGTAAAAATATTTAGGCAATATACAAAACACTCCAAAATAATAAAAACAAAACACACATGATAATCAGCTGTTTCCTTTAAAGTTTCTTGAAGTATCTGATCTGTGTTTACCTTTAATTAGTATCTTCAAATACCCCATATCTTACTAACTATATCTAACTACCACTTTTTTAAAAAATCTCAGGTACTTTAACTATCTCCAGCTAGCCATATCTTTCCTCATGCCATTCTCTCTCTTTTTTTTTAAAATTGATTTCAGACAAGAAGGGAGAAAGAGGGGAGACGATAGCAGGGAGAGAATCATCTATGATGAGAGAGAATCCTTAATCGCTACTGAGTATGGAGCCTGCAACCTGGGCACGAGACCTTGACCAGGATCGAGCCTGGGACCCTTCAGTCCACAGGCCGATGCTCTGTCCACTGAGCAAAACCAGCTAGGGTCCATTCTCATTTTTAAAGAAGAAAAGCAGAGGTTGCACAAACTCAGGCAAACCTTTCACCCTTTCAGAAGTTCATTTGACCGAGCTCTGCTGCAAGGTGCTTCTCTGCTTTCCTACTTAAACTGGAATAAAGGTGACTGCTCTTGTCAGTCCTTCTATGTGCTTATCCCATGATTCAGCGCTTTCAGGAAATATGCAGGAGGCAGTTGCCTGTACAGGGCAGGTTGGGCAAACTCCATAATCATATACACAACCACAGCTGAGAGAGACTACACCCATGACTATCCATGGATGCCATTTGCAGGCCCAATAAATAGTAGGTGTTAGAGCTGTAGGGCAATATAATCCTGAATGGCCATTTGTAAACTTTCCACCAAAGGCCAGGAAAAGCTTGCTGGGTACTGGAGTCAGACACCATGTAAGGAACCGGATGTGTCCTAGACACCTGTTCTCTCACCTGTATTCCATCCGCCTTCCCAGCCCCCAAACTCACTTGGCAAGAACTTCCCAGGGACTGCACATAAGATGCAACTCCAGCTCCTGAGTGCTGCCATCGTCCACCCAGTGTCTCCGGGCTCCGTGTTGGGCATCCCTTCCCTCCTCCCCTTCCCTTAAATAAATTCAATTTTTCTCTGTCCATCGTCTGAGATGGCTATTTAGCCTGCCCGCCTACCACCATACTAACCCTTCAGTAAGGAGGAGGAGCAGGTGAGAAAAAGTGGCAACAATGAAGAAGTAAAGAAGAGAACAAGGAGGAGGAGAAATGATAAACAAGTCCGATGCAAATAGAAGGGTATGGATGACGTCAACAAATTACCTTCCATTAAAAGAGCATTTAGGCACAAAATCGTTCGTGAATGTCACTTGTCGCTTTTTAAAATCATATGGGGGGGTGTGTGTGGGAGGGGAGCTTTTCTGATTTTCCAACGCTTCTTTTTTGCAGATGGGAGAAAACTGGAGAAGTGAGCAGGGAGCTTTGGGAAAAAGCCGGAAAGCAAGGACTCCTCGGGGTCAACATCGCCGAGCAGCACGGCGGCATCGGCGGGGACCTGTACTCCGCAGCTGTGGTTTGGGAGGAGCAGTGAGTACGGGGCCCTGGAGGTTGAGTCGTGTTGGTGAGCACACCGCTCACTTTCCTGAAATTATAATAGAAAGAATGCCTTCTAATCTTTTCCCGGGATTGGAAATTCAGTGTAAAACGTGAAGGTTCACATACCGCCCCCATACTCTGGCACATTTTTTAAATGGGGGAACGTAGGAAAATTCGCTCGTATGTTCTTTAAACGGGTGCTGTTGGAAATGAAAGGGGGAGTTTTATTTGTAATTGACCCCTTTGGTCGTTTTTATCTCTTTGAAAAGATACTTGAAAGAGAAGAGTGGAAAAATATTTCCATCAGATATACTAAAAGTTTACAATACAAAAACAAATATTTTTGGTTGATACATGGGCAAAAGATTTAAACCAACAAATTCAGCAAAAAAAGAAATGCAGATAGGCTTTTTTTTGAGATGGAAAAAAAGCTCAAGGACCAGTAGGAAGATGGTGGCATAGGTAAACAAATACCTGTACTCGCTGCCTCCCACAACCACATAAAAACTACAACTAAAATACAGAATAACCATAATCCAGAACCCCTGAAAATCTGGCTGGATGGAAGTAAAGAAGAAAGCACACTGAAACTGGTAGGAGGTATGGAGGCCAGAATGGGTTGGTCTGGCACCCACATGTGCCTCTTTATTAATTGGGATGGAGATTGTCTGTGTGAATGCCACTCAGAGACGCAAGAGGTTCCAAACCCACCACCAGAACCCCAGCCCAGGGTCCCAGACCTGGGAAAAGAAGTCCCTATGATCTGTAGAAACCAGTGCAGATTGGGGCTCAGTGAAACAGATGCTGCTGGAGACCCAGCTGTTCCTCTTAAAAGGCCGACACCATGAACTGAACTTACAAGGTCCTACTTCTTCTGAGCTCCAGCTCTAGGGTGAGGCTCTGGGGAACACAGACACATAGGAAGAGGGACTGGATTGTCTGGCATCGAAACAGGAACTTGGGGGCGACTTTCTCCCAGATGGAGGTGCTCGCAGGGATCATTGTCCCTGTGCTGGGACCTCCCCGGTAGCAGGGATGACTGGCAGCCATTTCTGTTTGCTCTTCCCTGGTGGTTCCCTGAGACGCCACCTCATCCAATTTACAAATCCACCCTAGCTGTGTGCAACAACTGTTGCATATAAATGGCCTGTCCTTGTTCAGGCTAAAATCTCAGACAAGCTGCAGCAATAAAACCTATCAATAAAAAAGCCCTAAGACCTGGCACCAGCACCAGCCTGCCTTGTTCACAGCTGGGCCTCATCTGCACACTTCTAAACCTGATACAAAGAGGAGGAATCTGCTCTTCTCTGTAGCTCCTGCTCAGTGGCCTTAGGCAGTGGCTGACTTTGCACCTCCCTGGAGATCTAAGAGCCAGTGAACCCAGTGGTCAGTGTCAGACCATATCAGATTACAACTCTTCACATCCTCAAGTGACACACTCAAGGGGCAGGCTCAGTGAGCACCAAAGCCCCACTGAAGCAAGTCCTGCTCCATAGCTGTGTTTCTTGCACAGCAGCTCTCCCACTGCAATCAGAGCTGGCCCACACAGCCAATTGGCCTGGAGGTCAATTCCTCCCAGTGACACCAATGGCAATAAAGTCTCAACTACAACAGGATTGTGCTCACAGTCCACAAAGGAGTGCGCCTAGAGCTCCCTGCTCAGATGACTAGGGGGGCTGAGCCACTGGGCTCTATAGAACACCTACTACCCAAGGCCTCTCTATCCATGCAAGAAAACATAGCAGCTCTACCTACTACATTGAAACAAACACAGGGAATTAGCCAAAATGCAGAGACAAATAAACATATCACAAATAAAAGAAATGGAAGAAAGCAAACTTCTGGGTATAGAGATTAAAACTATAGTTATAAGGTTACTCAAAAATCTGCTAGAAACCTCTAAAAATATGGAAAAGGACCAGTCAGAAATTAAGCATACACTTACTGAAATAAAGAATAATATGCAGGGATTCAACAGTAGAGTAGAAGGTTCTGAGAATCAAATCAATGATTTAAAATAGGACAGGGGGGGATGGGGGGACACACCCAACTGGAAGAGCAAAAAGAAATGAGAATCCAAAAATATGAAGATAGTATAAAGGAGCCTTTGGAACAACTTTAAGCATACCAACATCCAAATTATGGGGTGCCAGAAAAAGAGAGAGAGCAAGATATTGAAAACCTATTTGAAGAAATAATGACAGAAAACTTCCCCTACCTGGTGAAAGAAATAGACTTATAAGTCCAGGAAGCACAGGGAGTCTCAAATAAGAGGAACTGAAAGAGAACCACACCAAGACACGTCATAATTAGAATGCCAAGTGCTAAAGACAAAGTATCTTAAAAGCAGCTAATTATCTACATGAAAATGCCCATATGACTGTCAGCTGATTTCTCAACAGAAACTACGCAGGCCAGAAGGGAGTGGCAAGAAATATTCAAAGTGATGAATAGGAGGGACTTAAACCAAGATTATTCTACCCAGCAAAACTATTGTTTAGAATTGAAGGTCAGATAAAGAGCTTCACAGACAAGAAGAAGCTAAAGGAGTTCATCACCAAACCAGTATTATAAGAAATGTTGAAGGGCATTCTTTAGGAAGAGGACAAAGAAGAAAAAGAAAAAAATTAAAAATATGAACAATGAAATGGCAACAAATACATACCTATCAACAGCTGAACCTAAAAATCAAAATAAATAAGAAATTTAATGAACAGAATAAATTGGTGAATAAAGTAGAATCGGAGGCATGGAAATGGAACAGATTCTCAGAGGGAAGGTGGTAGGGGTGGGAAGAGATTAAACAACAATCTTATATGCATATATACATATATGCATTACCTATGGCAGTGGTTGGCAAACTGCAGCTCGCGAGCCACATGTGGCTCTCTGGCCCCTGAGTGTGGCTCTTCCACAAAATACCATGGCCTGAGCGAGTCTATTTTGAAGAAGTGGTGTTAGAAGAAGGTTAAGTTTAAAAAATTTGTCTCTCAAAAAATTTTTCAATCATCGTACTGTTGATATTTGGCTCTGTTGACTAATGAGTTTGCTGACCACTGGGCTATGGACACCTACAATAGAGTGGCGAAGGCCTGGGGCAGGGCAGGAAGTGGGTAGAGGGGGGCAATGGGAAAAAAAGAGGGATGTTTAATAGTCTCAACAGTAAAGATTTTTAAAAATGCATAAAGTCATTACAAGAAAAATAACATAACAAAACAAAAAATTTTATCCTCAGTACCAATCAAATGTAAATTTAACTGTGAGTATCTACAAAAGTTAGTAAAAACAAGAAATTGTAATACCCAATGCTAACAAGGTTGCAGTGAAAGTGGCCCACTCATGGTGGCATTATAAAGGCGAACAATAAATGTTTGCGGATTAAAAATATGGATACATATAAAAATTGAAAATGCTTTCTGCTCTTTGATCTAGGATGCCACTATGGGGATTTTAACTTAAGGAAATAATGTAATGGAAAAATATATCAGGTATATAGAAAAATAATTATCATGTTAGATCATAAGCCCCCAAATTTGGAAGCACTCTAAATGTCTGGCAGTGGAAGAATAAAAAAGGTGTAAATTAAGGTACATAAACAGTTTGTAATATTTTATAGCTATTGAAGATTATTATTACAACTATGTAAAAAAAAAAAATGAGATCTCCCCCCCTATAATTTAAAAATACAGATCAGTGCAAAATTCATGCCATGACTGCAGCTATATTAGAATTTATTGTTATGATAAAGGTAATTTGACAAAATGAAAATAGTTGCTATGTTAGAGACTACAGTTGTAGGTGATTCATATTTTTAACATTTCATCGTTTCATTCACTAAATGTGTTCATTGAGCTTCATTCAAGTACTTTTATTATGTTAGAGCCAGAAATGAAAAGAACAGTCAAAACTAAGAAAACCTCCAGCAGCTTTATTGGTTTGGGAGGAGACAGAGTATTGTAAAACTGAGACCTTTCATACTATGTTGTTGTTTTCATTGAAAGTCAAAGAAACTAAAAAACAGAACAAAATAACTGTTTGGTGCTTTAAATTCTCTTTTCTTTCTTTTTCCCCCCCTAAGGGCGTATTCGAATTGCACAGGCCCGGGCTTCAGTCTCCACTCAGACATTGTCATGCCCTATATTGCCAACTACGGCTCCAAAGAGCAGGTGGAGCGCTTCATCCCCCGGATGGCCGCGGGGAAGTGCATTGGCGCCATCGCCATGACGGAGCCCGGGGCGGGCAGGTGAGAGGCCCTTCGGTTGGCTTTGAAGGCTGGGAAGCAAACCATGTTCTACTTGCTTCATACAAAACTCTGGGCAACATGCTATCAATAGAAGGCATACAAAGATGAACACGGCGTAATTCACACCTTCTAGGAACACCACACTCCAGCAGGAAAATAAGGCCTTATGTACACACATAGCTACAAAGCTGACCGTAATATCCGCTGTGCGTGAGCTCTTATGTACGTAATGCAGTGCGAATGAAATGGTAGGATGGGAGTTGAATTGGGGGCATCATGAATTGTAGAGGTGGTGTGGAATTCACCTGGATGTTTTCAGCAGGTTCTTGAAATACGGGTTAAGGAACTCTGGATACAGGCTGGAGTGGTGATCGGTTTTAAAAGCCATTCATAAAAATGAATACGTTTATTTACTCAGTCCTTTGACAATGACTTGGTAAGACCCCTCAGGGTGCCATTATATAAGTGGTGAACAAAACAGATGCAGCCTAGGAGCTCACTGAGGTAAGAAAGAAAAGAACAGATACTATATTCACAATTATAAATTGTGGTAAGTACTAAGTACTGTGAGGAAAACAAGGTGCCATGCTAGAGACTAGTGGTGCATGTGTGCTTGGTAGGGAAGGGAAAAGCAAATTTAGATGGAAGAAGTACTTTATTATGTTAGAGCCAGAAATGCTAGAGAAAGCCAATAGAAAGTCATTACGTTGCCCTAGTTGGTTGTGCAGTGGTTAGAGCATCTACCTACAGACTGAAGGGTCTCAGGTTTGATTTTGTTCAAGGGCATGTACCTCGGTTGCAGGCTTGGTCAGGGGACATGCAGGAGGCAATCAATCTCTCTCACATGAATGTGTCTCTCCCCTTCCTATCTTCTCTCTAAAAAACTAATAAAATAAAATAAAAAATCCTTGGGTGAAAGTAATAAGAAAAAAATGTTGCTCTATTTACACTGAAATCTGGTAAATGAAAAATAACCAATTATTCAAGAACAGGGAGGAAAGCTTCCACATGGTAGAACCAGATTTTAAGAAGTAAAACAAAAGGGTGGAAAGCTTGGGTATTATGTTTGCCTTGAACCTGTAAAAAAATAAAATAAAAATGTGGCAACAGAGAGGATTGGTTTTAAAGGAAATCATGTGCTCTGTCATGAGCACAAGAAGAAGTGACTTTGAAAAGAGGGGAGGATAGAAGTGAGGGGTTAGTAATGTCAAAGACACAAGGAGGTTGAGAGCTGAGAAAAGGTCATGGCAAGCTACTGGTGATCTTTGGATGTGATTCCAGTAGAGGAAGGGCAGAAGTGACTCTGGAAGGTGTGACATGGGTATTGAGAAACAGGCAGAGACTAATCTTTTTCTGTTGGGCGGTAAAAGGAAGTGTAGAGAGGGGCAGTGTAGTAGTTTGATAAACCAGCATGATAAGGGATATGTTTTATGTTAAAGAGAGTGGCGACATATAGACCAATGGGAAACAGGCAATGCAGAGGAAGAGCGTAAAGGTGTGGCAAAGCAGAAATGAACACCTCAGACTTGTTTCTGCAAAGCTCAGGCTGTAATATTTTACATTTTCTCTTTTGATAGTACTGTTTATTTTTATTTATTTTTAATCCTCACCTAAGGATATGTTTTTATTGATTTTTAGAGAGAGCAAGGGAGAGAGAGAGAGAGAAATATCAATCAGATCAGCTACCTCCTATATGCGTTCTGACTTGGGGATGGAACCTACAACCTAAGTAGGTTCCCTGACTGAGAATCAAACCCACAATCCTTTGGTGTATAGAATGGAGCTCCAACCAGCTGAGCCACACAGCCACCGCTATTTTTAAATGTCTTAATATTTCATAACATCATTTGGCAATATGCTTAAATTGTATTTATCTTTTTCAGATATAAATCTATAATTATAAGCCAATACTGATACTTCATTTTGCCAAAATAAAAGGATTTTGACTATATCTTTTGCCTAAAAATGTGACCTAAAATAAGTAGTAATTGAATATCTTCCTTTGCTTTTAAGATAATTCCCTAAGATAACTGGCTGATGGCCCAGGATTCTGAGGCATCACACTTACTGTATTCCAATTCCAACCTCCTGCATGTTAGAGGCAACAGGAAATTCGAGACCTTGATTTATCTCCAGCTGAACTCATACAAACAAAGGCTTTCTTAATTCTTGTTTATTTAGATTATCTGTCCTTATCTGTGGTTATTAATTATGAAGGAGCATGAGAATAAGAATGGAGAAAAAAGAGGCAGTGTTTTTTGGAAGTTTGTGAGAGTAAAGGAAAAACAGTCAGTCAGTTTGCTTATTTAGAGATAAGAAAAGGGGCCATGTGGGCAAGAGAATGCAAGAATGGCGAAAAGCTGCAGCACATGAAGAAGATTAAAGTTTTGAGAAGGAAAGAATAAAGAAGATGGGACATGGTTCATTTCACTTTCAGAGATGCAGGCCACTCTGTTTTCCTGCTTTGATGTGGCTTTCACAGAAAAAGGTTGCGTTTGCTAAAAATCCCTGACCCTTTCCCCTTCCACATACATAGGAAACTCCATCCTATATAATAAAGAGGGAATATGCTAATTGACCCTCATGCCATTGTAAAGATGGCAGCACCCACAGCCAATAAGGCAAGAATATGCTAATTGACTGCCCCGCCCTCAAAGGTGGCAGTGCCCACAGCCACAAGATGGTGGCACCCAGTACCCTCAGCTCTCCCACATGGCTGCCTCTGGAGTCCCCCAGTGCCCTCAGTCCCCCAGCACTCAGGGCTGGCCCCGGGTGCAGGCAAGCCTCAATGGCAGCAGCCCAGCCTCCCAGGGCCCCCCGAGGCTCAAGTAACCAGGGCTGGCCAAAGCTTGCGCTGCTGACAGTGGCAGCAGCAGAGGTATGATGGGGGCATCCCCTTCCCCTGATTGCCAGGTCACCTCCCACCTTTGAGGGCTCCTGGACTGTGAGAGGGGGCAGGCTGGGCTGAAGGACCCCCCTCCAGTGTATGAATTTTCATGCACCAGGCCTCTAGTTATGTATAATTATGTACATTTGTACTTTAACATTTTCTTTCTTTCATGCTGATTTTCTTATTTGGCTATCATAATAATCTCTGTAAAACAGAGAGATAGTGTGATCCTTATGTAAAGAGAATCCACCTCTTGCCTCTTCCAACTTCTGGTGGCTGACATTCCTTCCCAGTGATATGGCTCCAATCTCTGCTTCTTTGGACATGTTGGCGCTCCACTTCTGTCAGTGTAATCTCACACTGAGTCTCTCTCACTAGAACATTAGTTATTGCATTTAGTGTCCATCTAGATAATTCCCATCTCATGTTACACAACCGCAAATCCCGTTTTCCGTAGAGGTAACACTGGCACATTCCAGGGATTAGGATTTGCCCTCTTTGGGGTCATTAGTCATTTTAGGATATTTGGAGCCAGAAGCTACGTAAATGTTCCACAAGAAGAGATTGTTTTTAAGAAAACATTATAAATCCATAGGTTGAAATTCTATGCTGCTAATAAAATGTACGGAAAAACATAGGATATTATTATTTTTTAAAATATATTTTATTGATTTTTTACAGAGAGGAAGGGAGAGGGATAGAAAGTTATAAACATCAATCAGCTGCCTCCTGCACACCTCCTACTGGGTACATGCCCTTGACCAGAATCGAACCCAGGACTCAGTTCGCAGGCCGATGCTCTATCCACTGAGCCAATTAGATTAGGATATTATTAACAGATCAAAATCATATATATGGTTCCATTTTTATAGAAAAGCATATAAAAAACACTGTGTATCTGTTTCCCTGGAGAAATACTGAAAGAATATATTTTTTTTAAATGTTCATACAAAGAAGCAAAATTATTTATTAAATCAATTTCTCCTTTATCTAGAATATTGTCTGTATTTTTCATGTATTAATCATGAATATTTGTTTATATTATTTAAAATATAAATTATTTTGCATTAAGAAAATAGTCTACTTTGAGAGGAGGCTTGTTAGGGGAAGTGGCATTTGAAGCAATCTTTTAAATAGCTAAGCTTTTGACCAATAGAGGTAGGGAAAGGAAGCAAGAACAATCTGACAAATGATCTCAGGGATATGGTGGGCCTTCAAAAGTCATCTGAGTCCAATTTGGGGATCTTGAATGAAAGCACTGGGCCTTGTTATGCTCTATAAGATCTGGCTAGTTTATGTATTTTTAAATCACATATTTATTTGTATAAATGATTTAGCATATATTAGATATGATTTTTAATGCATTTGTGTGAGCATTTTTCATACTAAAGAACAATTTTTATAATGGTGTAACCACTTTGAATTATCATGTTATAGTCATACTTAACCTAACAACATTGGCATAATTCAATTTTTATTAGCTAATGAAATTTTCATCTTTTTTTTTTTCAATTCCAGTGATTTGCAAGGAGTAAGAACACATGCTAAAAAGGATGGAAGTGACTGGGTTCTTAATGGCAGCAAGGTGTGTATACAGAGGCTCCCATAGCCCTTCTTTCTAGGGTGATGCCATGGTGACAGAGTCTCAAAGACTATTGATTATTGATTATATCTAGGGAGGCTCACGAAAGAACTGAGATTTAAGTTCACCCAGGAATTGAGTTGTGTTTTGGAAACAAAATTTTGCAACATTTATGTTAGATAAGATCTGCTCCATTTCTGTGTTTCATTTTGCACACCCCCTCACTCATATAGAAAATGTTGTTTTTGCCGAAACCGGTTTAGTTCAGTGGATAGAGCGTCGGCCTGTGGACTGGAAGATCCCGGGTTTGATTCCGGTCAAGGGCATGTACCTTGGTTGCGGGCACATCCCCAGTAGGGGGTGTGCAAGAGGCAGCTGATCGATGATTCTCTCTCATCGATGTTTCTAACTCTATCCCTCTCTATTTCTCTCTGTTAAAAATCAATAAAATATATATATATTTTTTTTAAAAAAATATTGTTTTTTATTCCAAACAACCTCATCAAACCAGAAAAGGAGAAGGTAAGGCTCACATTGTCCAAATATGGGACTAACGATAGCAAAGAATTGGTGATAATTCTTCGTATTATCAGGAAGAGTTTCAAAAGATCTTAGGAGAAAAAGATACCATTGATCAAATTTGAGAGCCCTTCAATCCTTCTGGGAGCCCAGCAACCCACGATAAAACTGAAAAGCTCCTCTCAGTAAGGTTACGCACAGGCTCCCGAGTAAACACTGTGTATCCCTTAGACTCTAATGTCACTGATGGCAGAGGATTTGTTTACCTAAAACTTTAGTATAGTATACACTCTGTAAATATTTGTTGTTGACTGAGTATTAAGAAAACATGTTCATTTTCTGTAAGGCCTGCATAGGCTTCTTTCTTTGAAGCATTGGGCTATTTTTCTTCTACTATTTAATAACCTTACATATAACTAATTAATGCTTCAGATAGAATATAGAGTTATAAAGCATGGATAGAGTATAGAGTTATGAAGCATGGGTAGAGTATAGAGTTATGAAGCATGGGTAGAGTATAGAGTTATATAAAGCATGGGTAGAATATAGTTATATAAGCATGGCAAATACAGAGTTATAAAGCATGGAGAATATAGAGTTATAAAAGCATGGATAGAACATAGAGTTATAAAGCATGGACAGAATATAGAGAGTTATAAAGCATGGATAAAGTATAGAGTTATAAAGCATGGATAGAGTATAGAGTTATAAAGCATGGGTAGAGTATAGAGTTATAAAGCATGGATAGAGTATAGAGTTATAAAGCATGGGTAGACTATAGAGTTATAAGCATGGAGAATATAGAGTTATAAAGCATGGCTAGAATATAGAGTTATAAAGCATGGAGAATATAGAGTTATAACACATGCCTTGTCTGGTTTAGTCTTCGTGCATATGCTTTCCCCTTATGGTGCCTTGCATGTGGTTGTGGATGTGGTGGGTAGGAGCATCACAGGGTGCCTGGGTTTTGCAGGTGTTCATTACCAACGGGTGGCTGTGTGACGTGGTGATAGTGGTGGCCGTCACAAACCGCGAGGCTCGCTCCCCGGCCCATGGCATCAGCCTTTTTCTGGTGGAAGATGGAATGAAAGGATTTATCAAGGGACGGAAGCTACATAAGATGGGAATGAAAGCCCAGGTAAGTCATACTGTGAATCATATGTAGGTAAAAATTGAGAGTACTCAATTTTCATTAATAAATTATTATTTATAAATAATTGAACTTATTCGATTATGCCTTATATAGAGAACTGCATAAAGCGCAATTATACCTTCCAATGCTGAATTCCTAAAACACGCTTTTCATAAAAGATAATGGAGATTCATTCCACCGTTCATGGAGCTTTACCTCCTCCTAGTGGTCGGCAATAAAAGTGAATCGGGATATTTTAAATATCTGCTTTAGAAATGGCAAAATTAACTAAATGATAATAGGCCCCCTGTTTATGAAATTGATTAAAGAAAAGAATGAACTAAGAACAGAAAAAATTGTATTCTTTGTTAATTACTTGGTAATTTTTTGTTGTTGCTGAAAAGAAAAACGTTTTATTTAATGTGCATTAGAAACCCTTAGTCCTCAGTCCCCACAGATCTGGCCAGCACTGGGGCTAGAATGATGGTGTGCTGCAGTGGAAAAGCCAGAAGTTTGGAATCAGTTGAACCTGGGTTTGCATCGCTGGTTTACCACTTACTAGTTGCGTGCATTAACCACGCCAACTTGGCTCCCAGTTAATTTGTGGTTTTTGTTTGTTTGTTTGTTTGTTTGTTTAATGGAAATAACCTCACCAGGTTATTGTGAGATTTAAGTGAAATAATTCTGTACTTAGTTGTATGATCTCTTAGGACACTGCAGAATTATTCTTTGAAGACGTTCGGTTGCCAGCTACTGCCCTGCTTGGAGAAGAGAATAAAGGCTTCTATTACCTCATGCAAGAGCTTCCACAGGTGAGAAGTGTTAAATAGAACAGAACACGATAGAGCTATATAAATCCATGTGTATAAAACTTGTGATATAGCCGATCATTCGACTGTACCTTAAAGTAAAAAGAAAACATGAATTGTGTAGGCTACGTGAGTAAATACCTGAACTTGGGGATATTCATTCAAAGCTTATAAGTGAATAGGGAAAGTAGATATTTCAGTTCTTTGATTCCTTCTTGGAATGATTTTAGCTTCTGAATCACAGGTCAAGAATTTGTACCTCTCCGTTGAAGGAATATAGAGTCTGGGCACAGTAGAAAACAGGATTAGTGAATTAATGACAAATCAATAGGCAAACTGAAGCAGAGAGTGGAATAAAATGGAAGAACAGAGTAGGGTAAAAGATTAAAAAAAAAAAAAAGAAATTTTATCTCAACCAAGGTGATTCCAGGATAGGAGCAACATGGAATAAATCTGCATGCTCAGGTTTTCAGAGAAGGTGATGCATAATTTCCATTGCCTTTCCTTGGCTGCCTGCATGTATACTTCAATCTCACGTTCCTTCTGGGTAGATTATGCCCTCTTCTCAGCACATGTTGAAGGAGGGGGGGGGGAAGAATTTATATCTCTTTGCAAAGAAATGTCAGCCAAAACATTGGCAGTTTAGGGTTGTTTTTTGTTTGACTGTTTTTTTTAATAATGCCTGCGAATCGAAAGGGAAAATGTTAAGCTCAGACCTAATAGTTTTAGCCACGTAGGCTCAGGCCTCACCTCTGTGTTTTCGGAGTGTTGTTGCTGAGTGATCCTTGAGCCTTGCTTCAGAGGCTGCACCTGCCTAGTAACTGGCACAGCATGGGGTAAACATGAAACTGAGTACCAGGGCTAGGAACACTGGCACAGAAGTGGAATATGAAAATCCCAGCAAGATGGAATTCAACTGACTGTGGACACTTTTACACTAATAAGCAGAATTTAACCTATGCGCTTTAAAGGTTATTTTCCATGGATATTGCAGGACATGTGCTGTTCAGAGATCAGTAGATGAAAATCAACAACTTCAGAATTTCTTTTTTTTTTTTAAAGATATTTTATTGATTTTTCACAGAGAGGAAGAGAGAGGGATAGAGAGTTAGAAACGTCGATGAGAGAGAATCATCAACCAGCTGCCTCTTGCACACCCCCTACTGGGGATTCACCCACAACCAAGGTACATGTCCTTGACCGGAATCGAACCCTGGACCTTTCAGCCCGCAGGCCGACGCTCTATCCACTGAGCCAAACCGGTGCCGGCAACAACTTCAGAATTTCTTTTCTCATAGATGCATAGAAAGAAGAGGAGGGTTAATAAATGGCATAAATACTTATATACAGTGAAGAGAATCTGTCATAAAAATAAAGGGTTTGCTTTAGGGAGCTATTACAGTTATGTCAAAATACTCTTATAAAAAAAAGTTAAGAACTAAGTTGATTGGAGATTTATAAAGATTATTGATGAGATTTATTATCATTGAAATCATGTCAAAATCACTTGTCTAAGACCTGCTTTCTGGGTTACAGGAAAGGCTTCTGATTGCCGAGTTAGGCGTTTCAGCCAGTGAATTCATGTTTGAGGAAACCAGGGACTACGTGAAACAAAGAAAAGCTTTTGGGAAAACAGTGGCTCATATACAGGTAAGCCTGTTGTCATGGTTCAGGGTTAGGTAATATCGATTTACCCTTCTGAAATGGGTCTAAGAAACTCAACATAAGTATGGAGAGATTTTCATCCAAGTGCTATTAGACTCCATGGAAGTGGATAAGATCATTGAGGGAGAGTAGACAGTAAGACAAGAAGACATTCTAGGACAGAAACCTGAGAAAAATGTTACGAAACTTAAAGGCGAAATAGGAAGGGAAGAGCCTACAAAGGCAACTGAAAATGATCGCCTAAAAAGGAGACAGCTCATAAGGCAAGCATCACAAAAGCCGAGAGAAAGTCCTTCAAGTAGGAGGAAGTAGGGCCCAGCTACTTGGAGGGAAAATAGGAGTTAAGGTCAAAGAGTGCCCATTGGACATGCTATGGAGGTTATTTTCTAAGAGCCGTTAATGGGCTCCTGTGAGGGGGTGCCAGAGGGGTAAATGGAAATGAGGAAGTAAAGGGACTGATGGCAGGCAACTCTTTCCTGAGTTTGGCTGTGAATATTAATTGGAGAGAAAGGGTGGGGAAGGAGTAGGGTGAGATATATTGGGGTTAAATGAGATATTTGGAGATTATTAGTTGTTTTTATTATTATTAGGATGAAAATGCTGAAGCATATTTTAAGAACTAGAGAAAGGATTTAGGAAAGAGGCATCGATTGTAGGTATGAACCAGATAATTAGCTGCACATGATCTGTGAGAAGGTATAAAGATGAGGGTGCTAAAGCTCATGGAAAGATAGGCCTTCCCACCCCAACAGGAGAGTTCTTCCTCCATCATAACAGAAAGAGCAGCGGAAAGGAGGCGCATGGATTGGTTCAGCTCTACTGGTAGAAAATGACAAAAGCTTTCTTCTGAAGACTTACATTTCTTTACATGCCAATAAGGGGGAAAGATGTGAATTAATGGGGGATGCCAGTGTTGGAGGAGAGTAAGGAATCAATCAATGAATATGTAAATACTAATAAATGAAACAACAAATTGATATCTCTCTCTGTCTCTCTCTCAAATCAATCAATAATTTTTTTATAAGATGGAGAACTACCATACATAGGCAGTTATAGGATTTCCATTTTATTCATACTTTCCATATTTGATGTTAAGTCTTATAATTTTTCATGAAATAGACAATAAAACAGCAAAATTATGATATTAAATAATTTCAATGACTGTCATTTATCATTATTTTGTATTGTGCCTGTGTGCCAGACATTGCTAAGTGGATTGTCTCATGTTTTTTTCACAGCAACTGTGCATAATAACTGTTATATTTATCCTTATTTTACAGATAAGGAGATTGAGGCAGAGGGGTTAAGTAACTTGCCCAAGATTACACAGATATTCTAACTCCGGAACCTACACTCTTAATTCAGGCACTAGTCTTACTACCTGGAAATTTAAGATTTAGATTTTAAATAGATAGACTTTATTTCCTTCCCTTCATACATGTTCACCCATGTTCAATGAAGTGAAGATTCAGCGTTCTTTCTTAACACAAGCTTTAGTTGTTTCCTAGGTGACATGTGCTCTTGATTCTAAGGACACAAAGTATTAGAAAAGGAAATAGGAGAAGATTATTTCTCACATTCTTTCTCACATTCCTCCAAAAAATGAATATCCAGTTCTTAAGACCTTGATTAATTAATTACAATATTATATAGCAAACCTGAGGTGTTGTATTTTATATTTCAGGCATAACATATGACAGTTCAACTAATGGTGTTGTTTAAATGGAATACGGAGGCTAGATAACTTTCCAAGGTGTCTTCCATTTCCACAACTCTGATTCTAAGATACTTTTTTTTTACTCAGAAGTCTGAAAGAGACTTTATCTGGTCTACTTAGTAACTTAAGGAAAAAATTTTAATGCTAGCTGCAATATTATCTATTAGCAACTGTTAATGAATGTTACACAGTACTGCTATGAGCATGTTGATCATTCACAAAAAGTACCTTGCTAATAATGTGTGGTACAATTAGTAACTGCTATTCATTAGAGAATAACTTCTAAAAGTATGATGCCGTGTCTGAAGAGCAAAGACCAACTCAGCATAGTAACACCCAACTCAATGCCAAGTACATGTAAATATTTAATCTCTATATCTCCAGAGAGTAAATGATGTACCATTGGAGGCATTTATTCCCTCAGACCTCTGGACCTCTCCGAATGCGCTGACACCAGAATTCTAAATGAGCCCATGCTGGTCTGAAATTTAACGTCAGCCTCTGGAAGTTCCCCCGTTGGAACAGCTCTCATACGAGAGAATTGGTCTTGGAGTTTTTTTTTTCTCTCCTGTAAACAGTGCATAAATTCTCAAACGTGCCACCCGCTGGGGTGGGTAAGGCAAAAGTGTCTTGAGACTTGTCAGGCTCCTCCTTATTTTCCAAATGGGGTGTCACTGAACTGAGCTGGAAGTAGTCTCAGAACTGAGTTTCAGGATTTCCGTGGAGCACATCCTCACCTGTTTTCAGTGCACAGAAGAGTGTTTCCCCACCTTTTTTTCATTCCTTGTTTCACCTATAGATTTTCTAGGAGTAGCCGCAAATGTGTGGGGTGGGAGTGGAAAACTTTGTGCTGATGAAAGGGTAGGGAGTTGGCCTAATTAAGTGACTAGAAAGAGAGATAGGAAAAGGAATGAAAAGAATTAGAAGAAGGCTTAGATGTTCTGAATTAGAGTCCAAAGTACAGAGGTGGGGAAAGAGTGTCATCAGCCTTCCAACTGCTTGGTTTGGGGATCATGGTAGCCAGTTACTTTGTCTGTTTCTAGAACAGGATGGAGTGAAGCCAAGGGAAAGGCAGTCAGTCGGATTTTTCATCAGCACAGCCCGTTAGGTCGGTACATTTACAAGGAATCTGTTCATCATAGTACCTACTCTCTCTGACACACCCTGGTCTTGCCTGGTCCTAGGTCTGATTAGACTCCTTTTCTACCCTTTCCCGGAAGTGGAAAGCACCCAAACTTTCCCCACCACAGCTCTTCCGAAAGGTTTGGTTTTGTAGTTTGAGAATTGCTGTAACCTCTAAGAATCTGGTCCCCAAAACCTGCCTTTGAGACTCAGTCATGGCTTCCGACTTGTCGGTGTGGGGTACATTTAATGTCTAGTTTAAGTTTCACTGAGTCGCCTACGTCATTCACTTCCATGCTTTTAATTAGCCACAGGATAGGCCTCACTCAAATAGTCCACAGCAGAATGATCAGAAATCTATTTCTATCTGAATTTCCACCAGGAAGTTGGAGCCAGCTGACCATAGCTGGACCTTGAACACAAGAGGTCAGTGAATGCAAGGTCTTTTTGGAAAAGAAAGCCAGTATTCCACATCTAAGCCAGTTCCTGGAGGAAGTCCGAGGGTTGGTGCTTAAAGAGATATAAACTTGAAGTTCGAGGTGTGAGAGCCAAGAGTCAGGAATACAAGAAAATTAGATTGAAGTGAGAGCAGTTGAGAATGGTTGAGAATGGACTAAGTAAGATTATTTTCAAGGGCACTGATGGTGGTCTATGGCCAACAGGAAGAGATATATAAGTATATTCGTGCTGACAAATCCTGACCATTTAGTTCAAGTTAGAGACTCTTCTAGACAAACTAGAGAGAGAAAGAGAGAGAGAGAGAGAAGAGAAAGGGTGCGGAGAATTCAGAAGAGGTTGTGGGTACTGGACTCTGATCTCTTGAGATTTCAGTTCTTTTATTCTTTCAGTGCATTTTACAGATATAGATAAATACTTTGCAATATAGCATAATACTTTGTATGTTGTCACTCCAGCTTGTTACTTTATTTTTTCCCCCCAAGGCAAACAAGCAGAATAGAGGAGTGTTATTACCCAATTTCACTAATAGAGAAAACTTCTTCATGGTTTAGACTCCAGAGGATACTACTTTTTTCCCCAGCAGTTGTACCTGCAGGACTATACCACAAGATGGTGCTCACCCATCAGTGCTGCTGTTTTCCAAGAAGCTTCCCTACATAGTCTAAACTTTTTCATCTAAACATCAGATAGTTATGTATTTATGTTTATGTCTTTTCTTTTCTTACAAGTTTCCTTAGCATTGAAATACAGCAGCATTTAAATTTAAGCTCTTATGCTTTTGTTGTTATTATTGAAGGAAAGAAAAACACACAACCCAGTAATTTCAATTTTGTTTTGCTCTAAAAATCTTCTATTACATAATGCTTGATATGCTAGGTAACTCAAAACATGCTCTTCTATCGTGCTCATTTTTAATTTTTCATTTCCTTTCCACTCAAGACGGTGCAGCATAAGCTAGCAGAACTGAAAACACACATTTGTGTAACCAGAGCTTTCGTGGACAGCTGTCTGCAACTGCATGAAACAAAACGTCTGGATTCTGCCTCGGCTTCCATGGCGAAATACTGGTATGCAGGCAACAGTAATTACAATTTGGTGTGTGTGCAGACCGTAATGGGATTCTCTTAACTTTAAACTCAGCCTGGAGGGTCCTCGGGAAGAAGGCTGAGTCAATGAAAACTAGCAAGAAGAACCAACTTATAAAAAATGCTGAAAGGTCCCATCAAGCCTACTTATAATATGCTAAAAATTACTCGAGTTGGTATTTAACCTTTGACATGCCATTGAAAATAAAGCACTATGAGACTGAAGTAGGATGACTGATGAGTTTACTTAAGTTTAATTTAAAATGATCTGAGGAGTGTCAGTAGAGTGAGACCAAAAAATGTACAGTAAAACTTAAAGTCCTGAAGAGTCCCAGTTTTCATTAAATAACTATCATTACATTTAAACATTTTTTTGAGATAGCATTTTGATATCTGTGAAATGAGTAGCTTGGACAGGATTTTCCTACTTAAGGTACTTTTAGATCAAAGAAAAATATCTGAAGAGCTGACTGTCCAATCAAAAGTTGTACATGCTCTATGAAGTGAAAGGAAAGAATATACTATTAAGTTCAGAAAGACTTTCATTGGTGTTAAAGATGATTAGCAACAGTATTTAAGGTGGATTGATTGAAAAAAGATGCCTGTAAGGCTTTTGTGTTTTTTTATGATGCAAGAACATATTTTAAATCAGATTCTGGACATGGGTTTGGTCTCTGTTTTAAAAGCAAACATTCTCACATCTCATTAGCCCAAAAATAACCTAGAAAAAATTCCTGTCATTACTCATTAACTTGTGTTCAGTTCAATCAGAATGGGAAAATATGCAGAAGAGTGCTTTATGTAATGATTCCAAAATAATAAAATTGCCAGGTTGAGATTACTAGGAATTTGCACTTTGGGAAGGGGAGACGTTTCCAGCAAGTTTCTCGATTAGTTTAAAAAGTATAAAAATAACTTTAGGTGTTTTCAGAAAAAGAGATATTTTGGATAGTTATAGACCTCACCGTCCTTGAAAACACCTGGTTTACAAGCGCACAAACATATGGCATTTCATTTTGTAGCAGAGTAAGCAACTAGTTATGGTCTGGTAAATATTTCGCTGAAATACTTACCAAATACAAAAATGCATGGAATTCCAAATATTATTACCCTTGAGTCTTGTCTATTAATCATATCATTACTGTATTTCTTGGGAACATCCTCACCTGTCCTATTGGTGTTAAAATTGTTTTTAATAGGAAACTATGTCCATGCTTACCTTTGCTTTGTTTCATGCTACTGAAAAATATGTTGAAAGTAATTTTGAACTATCTTTTATGTTAAGATGAATAAAAATCCCTTAATGATAGTTGAAATTATTGTGATAAAATCAGAAAAGAATATTTCTCAAGTACTTCATATTGTCTCAAGGACAATAATTCCTAAATAATCTTTAATAAGTTTCCTATGTGACAGCATGCACTTTAACAGTAGTGAATCATCTTTAGGTTTTCATTTTTATTTTCAGTTTATTTCTGAAAACCCTGAAAAAAATTTTTCTCTACAATTATTTGAATTCAGACATATAGCGTTAAGGTAGGAAGTGACATTTTGGGGGTAGAGGGATATGACATAATTCAAAGAAAAAAGGAAATATATAATTGTATAATTATACTGTTAACTTAGATCATACAGAGAGTCTAAATAAAGTAAACCAACTTCAAGTTTTTACTATTATCCCTCTCAGGCATAAAGTAGCCAAAAACTAATAGTCTATGCCTTCAACATTTTTTTTATAGCCTTAACAAAAACTCAACCAAATTATAATTGATGAAGAAAGTATTCACTATGTGAAAATTCTCCTGAGATTTATTTCATGTGTGATTTATACAAAATTACAATTATATCTCTGTTTGACTATATGCCTGCTTCTAATTGTTGGATAAATGTATGCATTTGATAAATAGCTTGTTTCCTGATTGTGAAGCACCTCATGCAAATCCATTTCAAATATTCCATTTCTATTTTTTTTATTTTATTCATCTAGGGCATCTGAATTACAAAACAGTGTGGCTTATGACTGCGTGCAGCTCCATGGAGGTTGGGGATACATGTGGGAGTACCCAATTGCAAAGTGAGTATGCCGATTCTGTTCCACACCTCTGGTCGAGGGGAAGAAAAATAAAAATTACTGGGTTTGCACATTGAAGGAAAGAAGGTGCAAAGTCTTCATTTTCCAACTGACCATAGAATGTATTCAAGCATTTATGATATTGGCTCACCCCGAGGATTTTATCATTTTTAAAGAAAGTGAAGAGACCAATATACTAAAGCATAATGCGTGGCTTTATGTGAGTTGTTATGCAGGACTAATATAACTTTTGAAATAGTTAAGTAATGTTATATTTTATAGATTCGCCATAATTATTCAGGTTATTTTACTGTTTTTTTTTGACTCTGACAAGCAATGCTACAACAAGGCCCTTACCACATTTATCTTAGATACGTGTGTTTTCGATTGTAACAAGACAGAGCCCCCAAAATAGTATTGCTAGTTCAAAAGCATGCATATTTTATTTTTTTTAATATATATTTTATTGATTTTGTACAGAGAGGAAGGGAGAGAGATAAAGAGCCAGAAACATCGACGAGAGAGAGTCATCGATCAGCTGCCTCCTGCACACCCCCTACCGGGGATATGCCCGCAACCAAGGTACATGCCCTTGACCGGAATCGAACCCGGGACCCTTCAGTCCCCAAGTCGACACTCTATCCATTGAGCCAAACCGGCTTCGGCAGCATGCATATTTTAAATTTTATAATTTCCAGATTATTTCCTCCAGTTAGTAGCAACTCATACTTAAATGAAGAAAGTCCGATGACTTGTCATCCTAAGCTATAGATGTTCCTGCCTTTTAAACTTGGTGCTAATCTAATGGGTTAAAAAAAAAATAGGTTGTCATTCTTCCTTTAATTTGCATTGACTACTAACTATTTTATTTTTTATTTTATTTTATTTTATTTTACCATGATAGGAACATTTAAGATGAGATCTACCCTCTTCACAATAAATTTTTTTATTGATTTTTAGAGAGAGGAAGAAAGAGAGATAGAGAGATAGAAACATTGATGAGAGAGAACATCATGGACCTGAAACATCCCCTATTGGGGATGGACCTGAAACCTCAGCATGTGCCCTGACCAGGGGTCTAACCGGTGACCTCTTGGTTCCTGGGTCGACACTCAACCACTGAGCTGTACCAGCCGAGCACTTCACAAATTTTTGAGTGTACTATACAGTATTGTAAACTATTGGTACAACTTTGCAGTATGGACCGCTAGCTAGAGTTTATTCGTCTTGCTTAATCGAAATTTTAAGCCCATTATTCGTAACTCTCCAACTTCCCATCCCCTTAGTCCCTGGCAACCGTGATTCCTTATTGAGTCTATGGATTTGTATAACTAGTATAGGTGGAACCAGTGTGGTATTTGTCTTTCTATAACTAGCTTATTTCACTGCACAGAATGTCTTCAAGGTCCTTCCAAATTATACTATGCTGCCGAGTTTCCTGTTTTTAAGGTTGAATAGTATTCTGCTGTATGTATAGACCATCTTTTCTTTATCCATTTATCTGTCCATGAACAGTCGGGCTGTTTCCACATCTTGGCTACTGTGAATGATACCGCAGTGAACATGCGAGTGCTAGTATTGCCTGCAGATTTTGACTTCAGTTCTTCTGAATAAATTCCTACAAGTGGGATCTCTGGATCATGTGGTAGTTTTATTTAATGTTTTGAGGAACCATCATGCTGTTTTTCATGGCAGCTGTGCCATTTGCATTTCCCTACAACCATAGGCAAAGTTCCAGTTTCTCTACATCCTTGTCAATATTTGAGGTGATTTATCTCATTATGATTTTTATTTGCATTTCCCTGATGGTTAGTGAGGTTAGCATTTTTTCATATATATACCTGTTGGTCAATTTTATGTCTTCTATGGAAATGTCACTTTTTTAACATTAGAAAAAGAGGGAAGACCCTACAGAAAAATCAGCCTGCCTATGAAAAGAATTTAAATTTTCCTATCTTAAATATTTTATTATTTTCCTCTAAAAACACTGAAAATTATATAATTTTTTCCAAATAGAAATTTTATTTCCTTCAAACTAAAATAAATTAAATACACCTTTTGATGCCATTACATCTGAATATCTTTGCTATAAGTTCAAAGCCATACCAGTTTATCAATAAGGCAACATCCTTTTCTATATTTCTTCCTTCATTTAATAATTTCTTCTTTCCATAAATCTTTGCCTCAATAATCTCCCTCTGGCAATACTCCTCACCACTCTAGAAAAAATATATCCTCCTCTTATTTAGCAATATTTTCAGCTTATAAAATTTTCCCAAGAAAGTTTTTGTTGTCTCAAGCAAAATCCAATTTAGTTTTGAATCAGAGAATGAGAAAGCTATGGACTTCTAAAAACTCTTTCTAATTCTAATCTAAATACCAATATCTAAAGGGAAGATTACCAAAAAAGTATTCAAACTGACTTTCAAATGTTTCATTTTGGCAAGCATAATTGAAAACATTTTATATACTTACAGTCCTTAACGAGGGAAATAAACATTTTATTAGTTACATTAAGAGCAGAAGCTTCGGCATAGATATAATTTACTAATTTTCTGTAGCCACTGGAAAGTTCATAAAACTTTAACCACAGGATGTATATAGTTTATAACCTTTTATAAAATCTCAGCAATAAGTAGGGCTTTTTCCTTTCTTGGGAATGGGCATGAAGTAGCTAAACAATTTTTTTAGAAAAATCAATCCTTGGGTTTGGATTTTGGTAGATTCTTTTAGAACTACTTCAAACAAGTCTTAATCAAACGCAGATTTTTTTTTTATCTTTGCATAGTTACAAAATCAAAAGTAAACACTGAATGATGCTAGCACAAATTAAATCATCACTGAAGGTTTTCCTGTGCATGTTCAGGTTTTACTCACAATAGTAGTCTATTTCCAATATTCGCTCTGCCAGGAAAGCAGAATAATACTGGTGTCTGTATTCATCTATTCAATTGTGCAGCAGCTGTTGCTGCCGGGCAAGTAGACAAGTGTTTGTCTGGTCTAGTTCGGGTTCTGAGGAAGGCCGATTAGGTGAAGAGGAGTCAGCCAAGTGTACGTGGCCCAAAAGGCTATTCCTTCCGATCGGCAGCAAGCAAAAACTGTAGCTGGGTGACTTCATATTTGAAAACCATGAACATTTTCAACTAGATTGCTATTTTCCTCCCAAGACATAAGGAAGGAATTTTTATTTTATTTTATATAAAATAGCAAGAGAGAACGTAATAGACAATATCAAAAAACTTAATGAGAAACCATAGGTGTGTTATAGACTGTGATTTAGTAGGGAAAAATAATCATTCTGGTTGTGTTTCTTATGTCCTCAGATTAAGGTATATTGTGTGTGTGTGTGTGTGTGTGTGTGTGTGTGTGTGTGTGTGTGTGGTCTTGGTTTCGCAGATAAAAGAGGTGCTTTTTGTTTTGTTTCCTTTCATTGGTTTGTTTTTACAAGATGCTCTTTAGCAGGAATGACTTCGTTCTTACCCATTGGGCCTGGGCCTGTGAGAAGCGAGGCTGCCTGTCTGCCGTTTCAGGATTCCCTGCCATGCTGGGAAGAGCAGGCTGGGGTGTAGAGCTTCATCATTTATGTGGTTAAACATTTATTATTCTGCTGTCTTTCCCTGTTCATTCTAGTTGGTGACTGAATTTAATTAGTAACCTATAAAAAGGTCTACTGATCTCTGTCATTACCAATTCCATTGGAACTTCTGTAATGTGGAAGGATAAAAAAAAAGCCTACCCCAGTCCAAAATGTCTAAAAGCATTGAGGTCGCTGAAGTAGACTGAAATGCAAGGCAGGCCCTTTAAATGCAAGGGCTGGATTTTGTGGGCAACAATGGAATGTGTTCAAAAGAAAAAAAATATTTATTTCAAAACACTGATGTCTCCAGATTTCAAGTTTCTTCCGAAAGTTGGTATGGAGACACTAAAATCCCTTTGTAATACACTAAACCAAGTCAGTGTTCACTGAGTGCTGACCCTTCGCAGGGTCCTATGAAAAGCACAGAGAAGGATAATCCAGACTTGATCAGGTTCCTAGAGAGCTAGCACATTTCAAATTTCAATTAAAAAAAAAAAAAAAAAAAGATTGCCAAAACCGGTTTGGCTCAGTGACTGAAAGGTCCCAGGTTCGATTCTGGTCAAGGGCATGTACCTTGGTTGCGGGCACATCCCAGGTGGGGGGTGTGCAGGAGGCAGCTGATTGATGATTCTCTCTCACCGGTGTTTCTAACTCTCTATCCCTCTCTCTTCCTCTCTGTAAAAAAATCAATAAAAATATATTTTTAAAAAAAAGATTTTATGCTTGAAAAAGCCATGCCTTTGCATTTCTCTACTAGAAAAATCCAAAGCTCAATAACTAGACCTCTGTGCCTGGGCCGATGAAACTGTTGAGATAGAGTAAAAAAGATACGTGCAGGACACCTCCCTGCCCACATACTGCCTATGGTTTCTCATTACGTTTTTTTTATATTATCTATTATGTTCTCTCTTGCTATTTTATAGGTTACCTTCTCATTGCAGTCTGCCAATTATCTGTTTGCTCATTAAATAGTAAATGTATTAACTTCTCATTTCCTTTACCTGCAAAACAATATAATATTTATTCTCCCTGACCCCAGAGCTGAGACTATCAAGTGAAACGAGAACCGGTAAAAATAGCTCTACAGTGTCATGATCATGACTACCAAAAGTGAATTTTTCATAACTTTGTGTGTGTGTGTGTGTGTGTGTGTGTGTGTGCACGCACCCACACGTATGCTACTGGACTCAGACACTTGGTATTTTAACCTCAGACACCACTGGAGTGACTATTAACCATTTCAAAAAAATAAGTTACTTGTTAACTTTGTGGGAAGTAATATTTCTACAGCATCAGTTTATACCCTGATAGCAGCAGCAGTGGTAGGATGTTAGAGAATATGTATTTTCTGTTTTGTTTTCTACAAAACCAGTGGATTTTAACTTCTTTGGGAAAAATGAAAGATAATAAAAAATTAAAACATTCTCTTCATAGCTATCTAAAATGCCCTTCTTTACAATGCTCTTCTATGTGTTGAATTTTACAAAATTAAATCAGAACAAACTTATAGATGTTATTATATTTTGAACTTGTAACCTCTTCAAGCAAACTAAAACCAAACTATACAGGTGATTAGTCTTAATAGAATTTGGCAATTATACCAATCGAGGATGAATGCCTTACTGGGGAAAAAGTAATTATGAAAAACGTTTATTACTTAGATTTCATTAATTAAATATTATACTTTAAAGTAATTAATAATTATGTAGAAAGACAAAATGTATAATTTCTAATATCTTTATTAATTCAATTATCTTCTGATTTACCCAGAGCTTACGTGGATGCCCGAGTTCAGCCAATCTATGGTGGTACCAACGAAATAATGAAGGAGCTGATTGCCAGAGACATCGTCCGAGACAAATAGACATCTGCCCACATGCTGGAATCCTATTACAACTAATCGGGTTTTAGATCTACTCAAAATAAAACCTGGACAGGGTGGAAACACAAAACATGTTTTCATGTGCTGTCTTACAGAAAAAAAAAAAAAAAATCAAATGCAAATATAAGATTAACACAAAGGGAGAAGAAAAGATTCCAAAATTCTCCAACATAAGATTTAGAACTTTTATAATTTTTTACATAGCTGAAAGGTGAAGATTTTTCTGATTCTAGAAGCCTTCGTGTTTCACTTTCCCCTAAAATTCTAAAAAAGCATAAGTGCTTAAATCTTTTAAATTGAGGCAGAAGCAATTTTATTATACTGCAAAAGCATTAATAGTATTTACAGCACATTGACTTTAAAAGAAAAATATATATATATAATTTAGAATTGTAAATAACTTCAGCTATTTTTTGCTCCAAATTCCCCAGAACAGTGGAATTCTAACACCTACCCCAAGCTCCTGTTTTTAAGTAATGGAACTCATTCTTCAAACAAAGCCCATGCAGAGCTCCTGTAAAATGCTGATGAATGAAGAGCTGAGCTAGTTAAATCAGGAAGCCTTCTTGGACTCAAGCTAACCCTTTGCCTATTCGAGAATGCTGTTTGTTCTCATCTGCTGATACCTGGGCTTACAATAAAATTCCCATTTTATAGGAGAACACAGAAAAACACATCATCCTTTAGTTGTAAACTATTGGTACATTTTATCAGTATCAAAAGAATGACTTTGATTTTGGAAGAATGCTTTTTAAGTGAATTTAATGAGTACTTCATGTCTCTTACATGCCAGGCTGTTAAAAATATGATGACAAATAAAACTGGCAAGACTCCTACTAATAAATGAAAAAAACAAGTTATAATACATAATGGAAGAAGTAAACAAGTTAATTTCAAATTATGATAAGTGCAGTAAGAGAAATAAACATTTAAAATAGGAAAGTGAGAAAGCAAGATTTGACTTGAGACATAAAAGCAATTCTTATTAAAAAAAAATAAATAAATAAAGCCATTAATTTAATTTGTAAACTGTTAGCATCATTTCAGTACTTGTTTTTCTTTGCATATACTGGGGAAACCGTGAATAAAGTACTTTTTAAATGGAAACAAACATATGTATTCTTAGTGTTGTAATTTATTTATTTTAAACATTGTTTTTAATACAATCATTACAAACTGGATAGAACAGAGGGGAGAGAAAACACTTTGATGGAATTATACACCTTTGATTTGCACTTGGGTGGAAGTTCATATGACTGACAGCTTGAGTTCTTACTCATATGCATTAAATACCAAAATGAGCTAAAATCGCCCTACCTTGTTCGACTCAGTGGATAAAGTGTTGGCCTGTGGACTGAAGGTTCACAGGTTCAACTCCAATCAACTTCATGGTTGCAGGCACATCCCCAGTAGGGGGTGTGCAGGAGGCAGCTGGGGCAGGCCAAGCTCATTTTTATAGGCCCTGTAATGAAATTTCTCTGCAGTGCCCAATAGGCCAATTTGTAAAGAAAAGTAAAAACAAGTGTATATTGATGTTTCTAACTATCTCTTTTCCTTCCTCTCTGAAAAAAAAATCAATTATATATATATATATATATATATATATATATATATATATATATATATATATATATATAAAATGAGCTAAAATAACATTTTATTAGATATTAGATATTACTGTATTGCAGTTTTCACCCCCCTCCTGCCACCAGGAAACAATATAGGATCAATGGACCAAGCCCCTCACCTCAGCGCCTTTCCCTTTCTTTCTCAGTCTCAAACAAAGCTATATTTTAGGAATACAACACCTTTAGGATGCAAAGTAAATGGCCATAGTAGGATACCTCTGCCATGGAGAAGTAGACAGACCTGAGTATGAATGATAACTCTGTCATTTAGGAGCCACTGGGCCTTGGGCAATTCATTTAACTTAGCATTCTTTCAGGTGCAAATGACAAAAGAAACCCAAGTCACACCATCCCAAGTGAAAACTTGAGTGTGCCCGCTGAAAAGGTTGCAGAGTAGCTCATATAATCCAAAGAACTGTAGAAACTGCAGTCTCAAGGGCCCGCTTCTAGGGCTTACACCTGCCAGCACATACACTATCTACACTTTGTTTTTACTTTCCTTTGCACATTGGCCTGTTGGGCACCGCAGAGAAATTTCATTACGGGGCCTATAAAAACGAGCTTGGGCTGCCCCACAGCCACATCCTTGAGCACAGTCTATATAATAAAAGCCTAGGCCACCTTTATGGTGGAACGACCAAAGCGGCCGGTCACTAGGATGCGCACTGACCACCAGGGAGCAGAAGCTCAGTGCAGAAGCTGCCCGCTGGTGGCCAGCGTGCTCCCCAGAAGCCAGGCTCACAGCTGGTGAGGGCCAGGGCGGGGGAGGGAGCCTTTCCAGCCTCTGCAGCAGTGCTAAGGAGCAGCGAACCTAGCAGTGAGGAGCAGGGGTCCTGGATGGCGAGAGGGATGTCCTAAGCTGGCAGGCAGACCTCCCCCGAGGGCCCCAGGCTGCTAAGGGTGCACACCGGACTGCGAGACTCCCCCTGCTCCTAGTGCACAACTTTTGTACACTGGTCTCTAGTGTCTTTGTAAGGTCTGGGAGAGATGCAGTATGATTGACAGTCCCATCAGGAACACAGAGTCTGGGGAAGCAGTCCCTGAAACAGAGAATGGTGTTCTCTAAAGAAAGGGAACAGAAATGTCTGCTGGGCAGACCCAAGTCACACTCACTCACTCACACACAAAGCTATTGCACTCCACCAGAGCTGGGAATAGGTTCCAGTGATTCCTATAAATCAGAAACCGAAAGGCTCTCTAAGGAAGGGTATTGTCTTGGGATGATCACTGGGATGTTTTCTATCTCCTCTACACTGGTTGTTTATCTTGCCAACTTGTCTTGTTTTGCAGCCCCCAAAGGAAACGTGTGTAATATCATGAGCTTAAAGCTGAAAGCAAAACAGGGAGTTCAGAATATGCCTCTTCGCCTTTCATTGCGTTTTCACTTCTGAAATAGCTAATCTTTGTGTTTTGCTTGTGTGGCTTTGATTGTGGTCCCCTAGGGAGGGAATTTATGGTCTGTATCTCACACAGAGCTAAGCGCTCAAGAAACAATAAACAACAATATTGCTTAAAAGGACAGACTGGACCAGCACAGCAAGAGAGCCACACTGTGTAAATAATTAATGAGAATAAAAAAGCCCGAGTAATTTTGGGGCTTTGGCTGAGATTTTTAGAATTATAATTATTGCTCTAAAACTATTTTTACCCTTTATTTCTTTGGTGGTGTCATTGAAATGACATTGTCAGGGTGAAGGGAGGAGAGCTGTTTTGATATGCTATTATAAACTCTAACTGCAAATCTTTGCTAATCTAGTAATTTTAGTAGTTTACTGCCCAAGATATAAGATTTCTGAGAGATCGGATTTTTTCGTATGTCAGTATTATTTTTGGCACACACAGCATTTATTTATTTTGAGTCATTGGAAAGATTTGACATTATGATGGAAACCAACCGTAGGCCTTTAGAATAATGGGCTTTATAATACTTGTTGAAGATAAGTTCTCTATTTTTGAAACCTAATTTTCTATTTTTAAGAAAAACAAATTACAGAAAACTTCAAGCACACTCAAAAATAGAAAGATAGTATAATATAATGAGCCTTTAGCCTCAATATTTGACAGTGCATCTTTCCCGCTACCTTTTTATTAATTATTTTAAAGCAAATTTAATCCTATTTCTTTTACACACACATATATTTCAATGCTTGAGATGTATGCTGAGGTTCATTCTTTTTTTTTTTTTTTTTTGGCATCTAGTTATCTTAATTCTTCCAGTATCATTTGTTGAAAGAATATCCTTTTTAAAATTTAATTGCCTTTGCATTTTTGTAAAAATTAATTGACCATATTTCTCAAATTATATTTGAAACAATTTTACATTCTTACTTTCTCATATTTGTATGAGTCTATTTCTGCACTCTGTTCCATTTCATTGATCTCTGTATCTCCCTCCCTCGTTTGCCAAAACTACACTGGCTTGGCTATAGGATCTTTACAGAAAGCTTTCAAATCAAGTAATAGGATTCCTCCAACTTTCTTCTTCTTTTTCAAAATTGTTTTTGGCCATTCCAATTTTTATTGCCATACAAATTTTTGAATTAACTTGCCAGAATGATTGACAAAGTCCCTTCATGTTTGTTATATATTTTTTATTTTTTCTTACAGAAAATGTCAAATATATGCAAAAATAGAGACTAGTATAATGAGCCCCCATGGATACATCACCCAGTTTTGATAATGATCAATTCATGACTAATATTTAGTAATCCATAACCCCTTATACCTCCTACAGTCATGGATTATTTTAAGACAAATGCCAGATATCATGCAATCCTGTGTTATTTATTATGAGCGTTTGTTCTCCAGCACAACAAAATTTCCCATCCCCATCATGTACAACTTTTGTGCTATCGCTAAAATCAGCCATTTTCCAAAGATCCCTAATTTTAGATAGTTGGAGTTTTCTAGTTTCAAGCTACTACCAAATTTATTTTTAAAAAAATTTTTTACATTCTGTTTTATAAAATCCTTCCTGTAATTACTTTATTAAAAATCATACTTTTCCTTAAACCTAAACCTACCAGAAGTTTATCTTAACACATCCTAAGAGAAGTTATGTTTCATTTTACAAGAATATTATATTAGAGTCTTAGCTGCTTTGGCTCGGTGGATAGAGTGTTGATCTGCAGTCTGAAAGGTCCCAGGCTTGATTCTGGTCAAGGGCACATGCCTGGGTTGTGGGCTAGATCCCCAGTAGGGGATGTGCAGGAGGCAGCCCATCAATGATTCTCTCTCATCGTTGATGTTTCTAGCTTTCTCTCTCCCTCTCCCTTCCTCTCTGCAATAAAAAAAAATAAATTAAAAAAATATAAAAAAAAGCCATAAAAATGCACGGAAGCTCTGCCCAAGTAA